ATTATCAACGATTTAAATAATTTAATGATGATTTTTTTTTGTTAAGAATAAGAAATTTTGAATTTAAATTACATGACATATGAATAAAGTAAGATAAAAAATAAAAAATTATTATCTCTCCATTCTGCAACATGAAAAAAAAAAAAAAACATTATTTAAAACTGAAATTATAATAAACAGTGTGTACGTTTGTACCTTGCCGCACACAATTATAAATTAATTTCTTCAACTATTAAGAATGAAATGGCAACCATGATTGGATGCGCTGCAAACTTGAAAATTCTTGACTAATCCAAAAAGTTTAACCCACTAATGGTTTGTTAAATTATTTTTGTGCCGACCATTACCCAAAAATCAAACCTTGTACTAAATTGTAACAAAACCATTGAATTAATAATGACCAAAACCAAGGTCAAGGCTACCATCAACGTGATCAGGGCAGGTCACAATCAGGATCAAAAAAGTAGGATAAGTATGAGAGGTTTTGTTGATATTTAGAATATATAGACAAAATTAGAAAAGAGCAAAGCATGCATTGATGTTTCATTTTTCTTTTTCTCTTTTTTGCTATTTTGTGACTATATTGAAATAGTCAATTTAAGAACAGTAACGCTTGTTTAATTTACTTATTAATATTTTTTTTATTACCCAAAAAAAAAAATCTTTCTCTCTCTTTTTTTTTTTATGTGTTTTTTTTAAAAAATTTTTCCTTATAATGTTTTTGGTCATCTATGGCTTGTTCAATTGCGAATCAATAACACAATATCTGTTGGAAGAAAGTTGTGGTTAATTTTGTCCTTCAAGTAAAGTAGTGAGTATTGACAAAAGCCGATGATGATGATGATCACCCAATATGACAAATGGTTTTCACAATCTTGAAATGTTTGAACATGTACATGCCTCAACCCCAAGTTTCACCTTCTTTTTTTTATCTTCAATTATTCCAAAATGTGATAAAGAATGACACAAAAGTGATGAACAGTCCCACAGCTTCACTATTCTTTTAAGAATCTTTCCACCATCTAAATTTTGGATAAGGGATACACTTGATCTCAAAAGAAAAACTTTGTAAGGTTAATTTCTAAAAATATATGTACGTAATAGCCAAAAATGTATATATCTACCTAAATATAATGGTGTAAATCAAATTAAAGAGTACTTAATTATGAGTAAATTGTATATATTGTATATATATGTTGATTTAGATAGTTCTGTGCAAGGCAAGCAACATCATAAGCCATTTCATCATCTAATTTTCTTAATTAGAGCACTTTGGAGTCTATGATTTGTAAAAGAGAATTGCTAAAATGCAAAGTGCATTTTTTTCCCTAAATTTTTTTTAAAGAAAAATGTCAAATCAATAAGGTCCCAAAGTGCTTGTGCACTCAACAGTTTGGGGAATGCACATAACCCTCCTCTTTGTAAAAAAGTAACTTTCTAGGAACCTGCCTTCCAAAAGTGCACAACTTGATGGCAGAACCAGAAAATCTCTAAAGATCTTAATGTCCAAGGGGGCTTCTACAAATTCCAGTTGTTTCCATCATTTTGGGTTCACATGGGACTAAAATCCCAAAAACCACACGAGATGGTGGAATGAAGGGCATGGTGGCATCCAATGCATATCACTTTCAGTCCATGCAAAATGGGGCCAACAAAAAGAGAACCCAATTTATGGACTGCTGATTCTATCCGACCGTGACCTCTGCCATACATTCATTTCCATTTTTCACCAACCCTTTTTTCCATTTTAATGCCCTCGTGGGAAATAGCTGTTCAAAATAAAC